CATTAGCCAGGAACTGGCTGTCACCCCACCCTTGGCTACAGGTGGGGCAAAAGCAGTGTGCATGCATTAGAGGTGGAGTGACCTCCTTCTTGGTCAGTTCTCTTCTAGCAGCTGCTATTGGAATATTCTCTTAAAACTGTTCTTACCACATCTTACAGAACAAAAAATTATAGCAAGAGTCAACAAGTGTGTCTAGTGCTATGCATTGTTTAAGACTGTACCTTAAAACCCTCTGAGTAAATAATTTGTTTACAGTCTAACCAAAAAAAAATGTAGTTCTTTTAAACAGTTGTGTGCTTAATTTGCAATATGATTCTAAACCTGGCCCTACAAGGTGTATTAAAAAGTTTACATAATTGAGCCAAGGACAGAAAGGAAGAAATGAAAAATCCCAAAAAACATTTTAAATGAGGTTTTATTACACCCTGCACACACACAAAATGAATGTTGGGTGATATCTTACAAGAATATGGTTGACATCGTGGGGTGAGAGAAAGGCTTGGGAAAGAAAAAGCAGTAATCATGGAGTGGATGGGATTTCCTTCCCTCACAATTTCATGGATCCTCCACTTGTAAAAATATAGACATTACATCAACAGAAAATGTCATACCAATTATTATTTAATCTTGAAGGGAAAAGATAGAATATCATGATTATCAAATTCACTTTGATCTTACTGAAACAGGTGGACTTTTGTTGTAGAACAATGTGAGATGCTACTTTTAAAAAATCATGACCAGTTAGTGTTCTAAACCAACAAGTGAGCTGTAGCATGCCATAGAAGTCTTTTTTTAAGGCTAAATGTTCAGAAAACTAAAGAGAAGGAGAGAAATTTGTGTCCAAACTGGCTATTATGCCCACCTTTGCTTTGGTGCAGACTTTTCTGTTGTGGAAGGACCGTGAATACTAAGCCCCATGTTTGCTTTCAAGCTGGAAAAGCCTCACCTATATATGCAGCCTACTTTCTACTTAATCAGCAGCAATGAAGGTGGGGAGGGGGGAACACTAATGGTTGCATTAGCTTGAGCAGCAAGGTTTTCTGTGGCTATGTGTTTTCCTTTCTGTGTACAGGAAACCAAGAGAGGCAGTGCTACTGGTTATTTCTGCATTTGGATGTCTTTATAAGCAACATTTTAACAAGCCAGGAACAAACCATGGTTTAAAATTCTAGCTTAATTTTTATGGACAAACAGGAGTTTGTGGTGCAGCCTGCATGAAGGCATTACACTAAACCAATCATGATTTATGAACACATTTTTTTCAATGTCTGACTGCAGCCTAATTCAGATGCTCACATGCTATCCTGAACACTAGTTTTAAAATTTTTGATTGCCCTTGCCTTGCAGTTTCTGTCCTATGGGAGCAACACAGTTACAAAGACGTTACTGTGCACTGGAACATTTGTGATTTTAACTGCGTGCTTAGATTAAAATGAGACTGAAGAATTGACTATGACCAGTATCACTTTTAATCCCCTTTTAATTCTGAATAAATGAATACTTACCATTTATAGTCTTTACTTCATTTATAATAATGCTCCGCAGTTCTGAAAGGAATTTGGAAGCTGAAAGATATTGCTGATCATCCACGAAGTCATTTAGTCGCTGTAATCCAGGGTTCCTTTTCAGTTTTACAAAATAATAAACACCCTTGCAGTCACCACCATTATAGGGCTCCAGCTCAACTCTTACTCCTGGCACTTTAAGCATAATATCAAATTCATCTGGTTTAGTTATCTGTAAGACAAACATGTTATTTTCTCACCCTTCCAAATTAACTAACAAAAGGATGAAAAAAATCTACAACAAAATAATTTTTAAAAACTAGACTGCTGACAAACCATCCTGTAGCTCAGTGGTATTGCATCTACTTGGCATGCAAAAGGTCCCAGGTTCAATCCCTGACATTTCCAGGTAAACGGATCAGGTGGTAGGTGATAGACACCTCCCTAAGACCCCGGAGAGCCACTGCCAGTCTGAGTAGACAGTGCCGACTCTGATGGACCAAGGGGTTGATTCAGTGAAGGCAGCTTCATGTGCTTAAATGTTCGTTTGATTACTTGCTCAGAACCCAGAGGGATCAACTAATGTCTTACCAGTGAGAGCGAATGTTGGTCTGATAGTGAGGGATCTCTCTATATTAATAAGAGATGCACACTAACACTGTCTTTGGATTCCAAGTACTCAGCTATAAGAAAAGAGCACTCCTTCAACTGAGCAGAAAAGGCAGAAAAATATCTAAAAGTGTATGGCACAAGGCTCTCCGGGAGGGGGGGTATAATAAGCCAAAATAATTTCCTCAATGTACATTGTGCTTGTCAGAAGAACACACCCACCCACCCCCTCCCTCCCAAGAAGTATTGCTTGCACACAAAAGCTTATACCAAGAATAAAACGTTGTTGGTCTTGAAGCTGCAATGGGATTCCAACTTTATTTTCTCTCTCCCCTCCCTCCCCAAAAGAAGAGGAGCAGCCCCGGAGAAGGAAGCAGAAGGGGTGTGTGAGATGGACTGTGAGCACATCTGATCCTCAAAATGTGTTTGAGCAAATATATTCTTCCTTAGGACACTAAGAGCTGCAACAGATTTGTGACTAAAAACTGAATTCATTATTAAGAACTCTGAAACCCAAAGCATTCATTACAATCCAAAATGTGTTAATAGATATTTTACTGATTCCAAAATGCTATAGTAGAGATCCCCAGGCTTTTTGAGCCTGAAGGCGCCTTTGGAATTCTGGGAGGGAGGGGACCCACACCAACCCAAGATGGCCAGCACTGGAGGCTGAGCCAAACATGATACCTTCCTTCTTGCTTTGCAAAAGAATTACAGAAGGAGAATTTTAAAAAATAAATGAAACCCACCCACCCCAGAAAGCAGAGAGATACAAAGAAGGCCTGAAGGTGAATGGAACCAGAAGCCTGGGTGCAGCCCTAGAAGGCCAATAACTGCCCTGCCTTACAATGGCCCCCACCCACTTTCAGAAAAGCTGGGTGGGCATCAGGGGAAGTACTGGCAGGTGCCATGGCCCCCATGGAAATCACAATGGAGAATCCCATACTCTAGTCTTCCTCTGGCCAAGACAAAAAATGCTTCTAATAGGGGTGTCCTATGTTGCCAGCCTAACATTCCTACCTCCCTTTCCAAGAAAGGTGCAAATGCATGCAACATCACCATCCTACCAACAAGATACCCAGCCTATCCGCTGCTTTTGAATTGTTATCTTAATTTGTATTAATGGTGCTTGTTTTATGGAAAGCATATTTACTGAATTATAGCTCTAAACCACTTTGGAAAGGTACACTGAAAACGTTTCATTACTTTGAACACTAGTGCTCAGAAGCATTACAAAAGGAGCCAAAATCAGTCTTTAATCACAGCATCTGGGATGAAACACTACTGTAGAGCTGGAAGGCCCTGCTGGGCTCAATCAGTTATCAATCTCCTGACGAGTTTTTA